AGAAGTTTTTTTTTGGAAAAAAGAAGAGGAAAAAAAAAAAGGGGAAAAAAATTCTTTTTTTTCGCTTTGTTTTTATCAACTATTATAAGCAGCTGAGTTTATTCCTCTCTTTTTTTTTTTTCTGTTGTCCTTTAAAGTGCGTATATTATGCAAATGAGGTGACGCAAATCATAAAAAGGAGGGGATTGCAAAGCAACTAAAAGACAGCTCTTTTTCTCTTTTATGCTCAGCCTTCAAGAATCACTTCAGAAACACCATTATTTCTGATGCTACACCATAAACGGATATCCGCTGATTCTTAACTCTGCCTTTATAAATTTACCAATATATAAACTCACATATATATATATATATATATATATATATATATATATATTTGTCTGCTCCAACTATCATTTTGTTGCTAACAAGGAAAAAGTAAAACTTCCGTCTAAAGATTTTCAATCTTAAAAAAAAAAATTTTACAGAATAAGTTGAACAACAATGAAGGAAGATGGAAATGGAAAAAAAAGAAAAAAAGTTTGAAAGCAATTCTTCAGGAAACCTATATTACACTCAATGTTTTCTGTTCTTTCGTTTCATCTTTTTTTAATACTGCGAAAAAAAAATTACTCTTAAAATAAAAAGGTGAAAAGAGACGTTTTCTTTTAAGAAGTATAAATTTATGTTTTTCAACGCAAATTTTGTTCTGTGCAAGAAAAAAAAAAGAAAAAGATTAAGCTAAAGGTGATTTGATATACCGTTGCAGATTTAGACACCTGATTAAGTTGAATAAATGAATGGTTTCAACCAAAGTGTCAATCATTGAGCAATAAGTCAGTGGTTAATCGGAGTGGTTAATCGTATGAAATCAACGGGATATGTTGTTGTTGGTGGTGACCACCGTTTGATTGTGCCTATTTTTCAGCCCTTCTTTTCTTTTTCCGATATATTATTGAAGAACAAAAATTTTGTACTGCTTACAGAATGAACAATTTTGACACATATTTACTGTTGCTTTGTTCTTTTTTTTTATTTTGGCTTGCAGTAACAGTAAGACGAAAAGATGA